TGAAGTGGAGGGACGCTGAGAGTTACTGGGAGCTGTTGGGCAATCACATGTACTTATGTTAAGGAAACATGTTAAAAACGCCAGGAGTCACCACCTTTGAGCAGTGGGACTAAGGAGTGATTTCTTGTCCTTCTCGATTCTTATCATGTCCCCAATTCTCTAATAATAAAGAATGTATTACTTTTCCAGTGGGGGAGGCCTGCACACACCTGTCGCACACTGGTCAAGGGACTGCACACAACGGGGCCTTTAGGCTCCCTGAGCCTCAGTTTCCCCATCTATACCACCTAGCAGGGGCTGAGTCACCCAGGACTACGCAGTCAGTGATCTCAGCAATACCAGCTCCCCCCAGCCCCTGGTACTGAACCCCACGGCAGCTCACCGAAGCCCAGAGGCTGTCCTCCAATCCGCACCATCTTCCAGAGCTCTCCAGATGCGCTGGTGAACAGCAGGTTACTAGGAAACCTTCAAAGGGAGCAAGAGAAAACCCCCAGAGGCTGGTGACAGTTGTGCCCCTTGGCAGCCCTCCTGGACCCTCCCCTGCCCTCGGGGTGCTGATGCTGCCCCAAGTGGGGCAGAGCTCAGGGCTCCCAAGGGCCACCGCTCCCAGATCCTTGACCTCCTCCCCGGCAGGGGCTTTTGGAACAGCCCCCCTTGCTAAGGCCATTTGGGGTGCCCCTCCCAAGCTCCAGAGCAGGGGCTGAGGGACAAACAGCACCAGGCCACAAAGCACGTGCGAATCCCCGCTTTGCCCCACCCTGTTGTGGACCTCGGACCACCCCTACGCTTCTCTGAGCTGGGGGGGACTTATTAGGGACAAAGTGGGTGACATGCTCATCACGGAACCCGCACTGGGGCGAGCGCCTACCCCCAGGCCTGGCTCACCTCTGCTGGGTCTGCACATCCATCACCAGGGAGATGTAGCCCTCGATGAGGGAGAAGGAGAAGAAGCGGATGTGGCCACAGTCGTCACCGGCAGCTATGGGGTCCTTCACTCTGTGGGCCGGGGAGCTGGTGAGGGTGGCCCTGCTAGGCGCCCACCCGCCCGCCTGGCCATCAGCCACCTCGGCAGGAGTTGCTGGAAGAGCGCTGGCCTGGGAAGGCTGTGCTGAGTCCAGGCTCTAACTCTGCCTCGCTGGGTGACCTGCAGCCAGCGCCTCCCTCAGTCTCGTCACTGTGCGATGGGAATGCTTCCACCGCATTCACAAAGGTGGGCACCACACCTCATGGTGCTGGAGACCTGGCTGGTCCTTGGCACAGGCTATGCTTGTCCCTCCTGCACAGGGCTTCTCTGTCCCTGTGTTTGCCCGCATCGCCCTGGCACAGGCTGTGGTCACTGCCAGGTTGCTAGACCCTACCCCACCCCACTTGGTGCTGGCCTAAACTTAACAAAATCTGCTCTGAGGAACAATGTTCACTAAATAAAAAAACCTGAAGTCTTGGCTCTCAAGTGACTGGGCTGCCCTTGGAGCTCAGGGGGCAGTTGGGTGCTTATTACTTGTGCACCCGGGGCTTCACCAAACTGTGGGGTTCCCAGAGTAGGATGCCTCCCCCTTCAGATGGGATTTTAGGTAGAGCCATTCCTTCCCCCATCAGACAAGCTCTCGGGGCAGGTCTGTGTCTCCTCCCTCAGACTAGCTCCTGGGGCAGGCCTGTGTCTCCTCCCTCAGACTAGC